TTTACAATACACGCACCCACCTACACAAAAACAGTTTAGATTAAATCATCTTTAGAAAAAGAGAAGGAGAAGAAAGTGAAAGTAACTGATACCAACCTGTCAAATTTACATAAAAAGCTCAAAATTAACAATCTCAGACCTTCCATGGAGAAAAGTAAAAATGGAAGAAACCCTGTGAAGCTGCAAAATTCAGACAGGGACTATTTTTAGTAGGTGTAGGAGACAAATACAAAAGAGACTGTAGATCTAATCAGTACAGAAGTGTGTATCACCACAACGCAGTAGAAAAGGAAGCAAACTGATGACTCTAATGGATCCTCTAATATGGGAAGAAAAGTGATTTTACAGTTTTTGTTCCACATGCTCTCTGAAAGACAGCAAAGGGTGCCAATACTTTAATTTATAGCAAAAATACAGAGGCGTTTGAGCAAACATTACCAGATCATGGACAAGCAGTCGTGCATTTTCTACAATATACGTCAGAACACTCATGTCCGTTATGTTATATCCTAAGTATGGCTCAAAACAGGAAGTGAACAAGAAGCCATGTGAGATTTTCCCCAAATAGAAAATAATATATTATATATTTATATATAATATAATATATATTTAACTTGAACTACAGGGAGGAAATGTAGTGATGAGGCTAAATAGTGATAAGAAAATGGTACTGTGGGTGAATAAATAAAAATATGAGTCTGAAACACTGAATAGCTGTTTAAAACTCCTTAAAAGTTTTTGCTTGAATTATTTATATCCGCTTGGCTGCTTAATAATCAGGGCATCTGTGTGTTATAACAATCTAAGATCTGCACTGTTCCTGGCTCCGCCCACATGCTCACGTCGTACCTGGCCATGAAAAGTAACTAAATTCAGTATGAGTATTAGGTTAAAACTAAAATTACCCATAATATTCCATGCTAACGCTGTTTCTACTGCTCTCCATTGCAAGTGCAGCATTTAGGACAAAGTGTTTGATACCTTTGTGTTAGGATCAAGGCTCTTCTTAGCAAACAGGAGGGCAACAGCCATAAAATATACATCATCTTTTGGTTCACCTGCCTTGTGGAGGCTGTGAGGAAACAGAGATCAACTTAAGCGAGATAAGTATTTGTACCTTTTTTTCTCTTTGTTATTTAATATACCCCCAGTGCATATATACACATATATATTCACTTCACATTTACACACATCATGTCTTTGGACTTTGTACTTATGAAGACTAATGATGATGAAGGTAAGAGAGAAGCCTGTAGTCACTTGAAAAGAATTGCAGGATGGCAGCAGGAACACCAGTTACACAGAGAACAAGAAGCAATGCACTGCATTTCTAAACATCAAGCAATGGGATGTGAGTTTAAATGCATTTTGAAAAATCAGAACTCTTTTGGAACAATATGCTCCAGTCTGAGAAAACAAAAATAAACCTTTTTAGCAGTTAATAATTGTGTCACGTTTGAAGAAAGAAGGTTTGCGCGTATGATCCCAAGAACACCGTAGCTATAGTGAAGCACGGTGCTGGGAGAATCATGATATGGGGCTGCTTCTCTTACATGTCATTACATGTCATTGAAGGAAAACATGAATGAAATGATGTACTGGAACATATTAGAGGAAAATTTAATATCATTGTCCAAGAAACTGAATCTGGGGAGAAAATGGATGTTTCAAGAAGACAACGACACCAAACATACAGCCACAATAAATAATAAGAAGGCCTTGCATGGCCTAGCCAATCTCCTGACTTGAATCTCATTGAAAATTTATGGAGGGTTTTAAAACTGGGAGTCCATCAGTGGGACACTCGTAACCTTGGGCAACTGACTATGATTTGCCAAAAGAACAGGCCAAAATTGTACTACAGTGCTTCAAGCAGCACATTATTTCTTACTGTAAATGTCTCAAAGCTGTAATTGCCAACAACAGCTTTGCAAAAAATGTACTAATATTGGTCATTTTTGGTGTCTGAATACTTTTTTCTATTGTTAATTTGTTTATGCTTATGAATACATACTTTTTTGTTCGTACTTATAAATACAAAGTCAAAACACATCATGTGTGTAAATTTGAAGTGGATATTTGCACTGGAGATACATTATTTTGCCAAAAGTATGTGGACAACTGACCATCACAGCCTTGTTGAACAATAGGTTTGGGCCTCTTAGCTCCAGTGAAGGGAAAATGTAATGCCATATCATAGAAAGACATCCTATACAACTTTGTGGCAGCAGTCTGGGTAAGAACCACATATGGGTGTGATGGTCAGGTGTCCAGGGGTCTGCGTTGTCGTATTTTGCGCTTCATAATGCGCCACACATTTTCAATGGGAGACAGGTCTGGACTGCAGGCAGGCCAGTCTAGTACCTGCACTCTTTTACTATAAAGCCACGCTGTTGTAACATGTGCAGGGACGTCCCTGGAAAAGGCGTCACTTGGATGGCAGCAGATTTTGCTCCAAAACTTGTATGTACCTTTCAGCATCGATGGTGCCTTCACAGATGTGCAAGTTACCCTTGGGCACTAACACACCCCCATACCATCACAGATGCTGGCTTTTGAACTTTGCGCTGATAGCAATCTGGATGGTCCTTTTACTCTTTAGCCCGGAAGACGCGACGTCCATGATTTCCAAAAACAATTTGAAATGTGGACTCGTCAGACCACAGCACATTTGCAGGTCACTGTAATCTGTTTTTATTTACGTTTTACACATCATCCCAACTTCATTGGAATTGGGGTTTGTATTTGTCTATGTAAACTCGGATATTCGAATATTAAATTTGGACATGTAAAACAAGCACAGAAAGATGCACTCAGAGTTGGTGTGGATTTAGATGTTGGAATGCAGTTGAAGTACATGACACATACGCACCAAAAATGATTTCAGAAATGTGGGCTGTCTGAACTGGCCTTTACACACACAGCTGATGAAACACACCAGCTAAAATGTCTAGTTTGTAAAGAGTGTTTTCACGACTGCGTTTATTACAGAAGTACGTCAACTTTACAGAGCATACATCTATATATGCTAACATCATTGGACAGTTAGCAAAATCAGGTCTAAATGATTGATAACGATCCAAGACATTTACTTAGTAACACAAATCAAAACTCTAATGTGGATAACAAACTTCCTACACTTACCGTTTATCTGGCACTGGATCACTGTTCATCTTGTTACACTTACGTTTGCTGGACATCACACCACTTAGGCTTTGAAAACACAGTTGCTTATTCAGTATATAACTTTTACAGTATTATTGCAAAAGCTAAATATTAGACACACACTTTTTATTTATTTATTTATTTACCATAAAGCATAATGTGCAACAGAATTCTCCTTTTTTCCCCTCCATTTCATTATTGACATTACAATCCTCATAGCCTGATTAGCGGTTATAAAACATTGTTGATTTTATTTTCTACTGTTACATTTACTGCAAATATAATTCCTTGTAGTTTTTCATTCAAAGTTTGTCATGCCTCACCTACCATTTAAATATTTGGAGAGACCGCTTTTATATTCCTTCATAAAACATAATCCAATAAAGCAGCCATTTTCAAACCTAATAGAATCACTATTTTTGAACTGTTTTGTTTAATTATGGCTTGAAGTGTCACTATGAAAGTACAAACCTTTGACCAGTTGTCAGTCATTACCTGATGGAAAGCTATCTAGCAAGTAAACAGATGCTTAATATTAATATAATAACTAGCTCAGTTGGTAGATCATGAGACTCTTAATCTCAGGGTCGTGAGTTTGAGCCCCAAGCTGGTTCCCAAACCCAGTCACTGGGGTTGCACAAGCTAGTGTACTCTCAGCGCCGGTCCCAAGCCCAGATAAAATAGAAAGGGTTGCATCAGGAAGGGCATCCAGCGTCAATCAAATATGCAGATCATAAACCTTAATAATTTCCATAATGGAGACAGATGGTCCACTGTGGCAGCCGAAGAAGAAGTGAGCTCACATTTGGGTAAACAACAAACTCTGTTTGAATTAGTTTCAGAATTCATTTAGGTAGAACGGCCACCAGATTGGGATATTTCTAAGTTAGCAGCCGTAAATCAGTGCTTCTGATCGTCTACCACTGTAAAGATGTTGGAATGTAACCATGACAACCGTTAATACCAAAAAATTAAATAAATAAATAAAATAAAACACCATGGATGAGCACTAAACTTGGGAGGCAGCAGGCTTAAAGAATCCTTAAAGATTATTTCTAAGCAAAACATCCAAAGCCTTCACTTGCAATGCTGGTACAGAAGTAGGCAGAGTATCAGGAGAAATGATTTATCTGTTACCTTTACGTATTGGATTGTTGAGTGTTATTTTATACAAATTATGATTTAAAGCACTTACCTTTTGCCACTGGTGTAATTTTGATTTCCAGATAACTATAAAAGATGTCACACTCTTTACAGATCTGTCCGAACAACAATCACCTTTTTAATTCCTCTGGAGTAAGAATGTGGAACAGGAAAGTGATTTTAAATACATGTGCAGACACTGCAAAAGTGCAAAAACCTCACCCCTGTGCAAATGTGCAACAGGGAGGTGTTATTTAAATACATATATGGTCATTTATCTTCTGGAAAATTTCAAATATGCAGAGAATTATTCATTTGTTTAGGGTGTAACACTGAGTGTCTAATGACAATTGAAAAAATATTTCTGTAATGGCTTCAGTACAAACTCAAAACCCTGATCACAAAAGGTGTTCCTGCAACTAGAAAATGAAACTATCATGAGAAACAAAGCATATACTCTCCTACTGCCTACATACTGAACACACCACTGTGCCTGGAGGAGAATATGGAAGCCAGTCTGATGCCTAGACAATAGCCACCATACAAAGCAACAATGCACTGACCTCATAACTAGGTGAACAGAGCTCCTCTACTCAGGCTATGGGGACTTTGTAGTCTCGCAAACCAGAACTCTAACATTTGGTAGAGAGTCTGGTTTCATCAGTAAACATGGCAAAGACCTGCCTCTTTCACAGAAAAAGACAATTTGACTGACATGGTAGATGCCATCACTGGAGGCTATTTGTTTGTTTATAGAAGTTGGTGAGGAACACACAATCGTTATTTAGGTGCTGATAAATAAAAACACACAATTGAAGGAGAGTGTACTTACCTTTGCTGTGACTGTACATCATCCATGAAGATTAGTGAGCCCATTCCAGAAGCAGACGTGCAAGCCCAGGCCATTACACTACCTCCACCATGCTTGACCAATAAGCCTAAGTTTTGGATCATGATCAGATCCTTCCTTTCTCCACACTTTGGTAGAGGTTAATCTTGGTTCCAGAAATTTTGTGGCACATCTCTGTATTTCTTTGCAAATTCCAATCTTGCCTTCTAATTCTTACTGCTGATGAGTGTTTTGCGTCTTGTGGCATGGCGTCTAAAGGTCTGCTCTCGAGGTCTTCACCCTTGCCCTGCGGAGGGTGTTGGTGAGGTCACTGACTGTTGTTTTTGGGTTTTTCTTCATAGCTCTCTCAGTGTTGGTCGTGAACTGCTGTTGTTAGTACACCAGGTGGTTTATTTCTTTTTCAGGACTTTCCAAAACACTTGTGCAATGGCTCAAATTGCTTTTCTCTCTTTTCTCCCTTTTCTCCACAGTTGTTCAAAAGCAAGACACCTGAAATGAATATACCTGAGATCTGTACACACACAGTTGCCAGATTATTAGGTAGAAAACAGGTTTTCCTTGTAAATGTTTATTGGTTGTTCTGCTTCACTTGCTGGCGTATGGAATTATCTCTGGGTTGCGGAGTTTTCTTTAACCATTTCTGTTTTTAAACTATTTTAACGAAGTAGTTGTCTTCATCACTCAATGTCTCTAGCAGAAAGGTCTTTAAAGCAATACAGAAATGCCCCGCACTCCATTGTTTTGCTGTACTGCTGACATTGGATGATGACTATGACGGTGCATATGCATTTTGAGAAAAAGCCATATGAATTCTGATTCTGATGAATTCCGATGAAATTGCTCCCCCTGCAATCCTACCACCTACACACTGGATCCCAGCTCTTCCACAAAGCTCCACAGGACATCCTCCCCTTCATCTCTTTTATCATTAATGACTCCATAACATCTGGCCATGTACATACTGCTTACAAGACAGCATGGGTCATTCCCAAGAATTCCTCAAGAAATCCACCCTAGAAACCTCAGATATCAGCAACTACTGACTGGTATCACTTCTCTCTTTTCTTTGTCTAAAATCCTTGAATGCGCTGTCTACAGTCAATTGTCTCTCTATCTCACTCAGAGTAACCTCCAAGATCCTAAACAACCAGGTTTCAAAGTGGCAGACTGCGCAGAAACTGCTCTAGTGGCCACCACTGAGAAGCTTCATGCCACTAGATCAGCCACCTTTCATCAGCCTTTGACACAGACAAACAGAAGACACTCTTGTCCATTCTCATGAATCTTGAAATTCATGACACAGCATGGCAATGGTTTGCTTCCTACCTGGAGGGATGATCTTATAAGCTGATATGGAGGGGAGCCACATCTACTCTATGCAGACTTCACTGATGTCCCACAAGGCTCATTGCTGGGTCCTCTTCTGTTCTTCCTCTATATCCACTCTCTTGGTGAGGTCATATCCTCACATAGGTTTTCATACCACTGCATGCTGACGACACTCAACTTATCCTCTCCTTTTCCTCCCTCAAACACTTATGTATCTGTACAGACCTCAGCATGTCTGGCAGACATCTCATCAACTGAATCTCATCAACTCATGGATCGCAGCTCCTCAACTTAATCCCAGCAAGAGTTGCTGGTGTACAACCCCTGAGATACATCTTCATGTCAAGATCTTGTGATCTCCCTGGACAACTCTCAGATCACACCATCCGTCAGTACATGCAACCTCAGGGTAACCACGGACAACCAACTGTCCTTCTCACTTCATATCACTGTCACGCACATACAGTCCTTTACAACATCAGGAGGATTCAGCCATTACTATCCACAGATTACACTCAGTTGCTTGTTCAGTCCCTTGTCATTGCCAGACTGGACTACAGCAACTCGCTCCTAGCAGGTCTGCCCCATGCCATTTGCCCTCCAGAATGCAGAAGCCTTTTTTTTTTTTTAACCTCCCTAAGTTCTCCCACACCACCCCATTGCTACACTCCCACTACTGCCTTCTTCTACCTGCCTGCATCAGATGTAAAACACTGATGCTTACCTACATCACCAAAAATGGACCAGCACCGATCTGAAATTAAAGCACTCATCACACCCCACTCTGCACCACGCTCCCTCGACTGGACCACCCAGGTGGTTGAATGAACTTCCTCTGGCTGTCTTCGCAAACAAACACTACCTACCTCTGCACCAAGCACTTAATTTAGCACTTTGTTATTTTAAAAATCTTTGTCTTGTATTTTCTTTTCATACTGTACTAAAGTCCCCCACAGGGTTTTTAGAACGATGGTACTCTTAGCCCCTGACTTAGTAAACTAGGACGAGGATGTGTTTTTATAGGGACTACAAGGCACTTATTACCTCTATATCTCTGGATGAGGGCATCTCCCAAATGCCATAAATGTAAAATGTAAATCATGCATGGCCACATATCAGATATTTATCTGATCCAAGACCAGTGCTCGAGTTGAGGGGGGATACAAGGGGATGGCATCCCCCTTGTTGAAAAAAAAAAAAAAAAAAAAAAGACAAAAAAACATCCCCTCTGTAAAACCACCATTCTCCTTACCATCCCCTTTAGATTAACAGTGTCATGTATTAAAATGTATCATGCAAATGAAATATTAAAATTCTCTCAAACTACAAACCATGGCAATTGGCCAATCAGAACTCAATAGTCCAACGAGCTGCGCACAAGGTCACGCAAGTTTTCGTCGGTTTCACGCTCTTCAAAAATGGCCAAGAGAATGGTGCTAGGACATCTTTTGACATTCTTTAAAAAGAAGAAACCAGAAGGTAAGATATTGCTATGACTAGTGTTTCAGGACATTCCCCTGACGTAAGATTGGAAACAATAAAGAACAAAGTACAATGATTCAGTAAGGGTGATCGCTGTCAAGGTTGCACTGAATTATTGAATGCAATCACCGAGGTGGTAACGCAGACGTGCGCATGTTAGGTAAATGTATGTGTCTATTTAAAAAAAAAAAAAAAAAAAAAACAGGTTTTAGTCCCTAAAGTGTTGAGCTATTTTCTTACACACTGTTGTCACTAGGTCACTTTTAAACAGAACTGTGTACTGGTCAGCGCTGTAGTCATTGTACTGTCTTGTTCTGTCTTGTGTGTCCGCACACGTTTGCACTTGTGCACTTGATGTATAAATTATGTCGTCCCTGTAGTTCTGTGTTGTTCTGTGTCGTCTTATGTAGCACCTTGGTCCTGGAGAAACGTTCTTTCGTTTCACTATGTACTTGTATATGGCTGAAATGACAATAAACTCCACTTGAACTTGAACTTACAACACTGTTTATGCAATCTGCACAGAAACCAATCAAGCCACTGCTAACAGCTCGACATCAGCACTCAGGCCGCCATTAATGGCTTGAAAGCGACACTTTTGATGGAGATTTAGAGTTTTATTATTAAAAAATTCTGTTTAGAATGACTTTAGAGCATGGCGATAATGATTAGACTATAAACTGCCCTCTGAAGGCATCGTTCAGGTCGTTTGGTATGCAGGGAGAGTGAGTGTGTGTTAGTGAGAGAGAGAGAGAGAGAGAGAGAGAGAGAGAGAGAGAGAGAGAGAGAGAGAGATTCCATGAATAATGC